GAGCAGGGCTGGCCTAGGAAGCAAGCAGACACTGGCTCACGGCAACGCTGAGCCTGTGTCCACACACCTCATCCAACGTACCCCTCTCAGCTGCCTCTGCAGATACTTCTTCAGATGAGAGCACTGAAGTAGAGGGACTTACCCAACACCCAGAGGGGGATTCCAGCTAAAATAGAATCCAGATAAAAGATTTTATTTTATTCTCAGTTCTTTCCAGCGCCTCCTGGTCCAGCTGGCACTGATCTCCTGTCCCATGTTCCCTGCCCCTGATATTCCAGAGTACTTGGACTCCTAGGTTTGGGACCGGAAAAGGATCTTAGAGTTTGTTGTCTCCAGTCTCTTTGAGTAATGCACCTAGGGTCACACAGCCCACGAAGAGCAGAACGGGGACTAGAATTCACGTCTAATAGGACAGCTTGTCACTTACCTTGTGTCTGCCTCACTGCTTGGGAGTCAGGTCTTAACTGTGTGGCCCTGGTCTCTACCTGCTTGCCAACCTTAGTTTCCCATCTCCCCATGGTGAGGGTGTGAGGGTATCCCCGAGGGCCCCCTAGAGCTCCCCAGGCTCAGCCCCTGATTGATGGTCTGCGCGTTCCTGGGTCTCCACACACCGCGGTTTGCATGTCTTACTCCTCCTTGACATCATTTTCTTTCTAGATAATTGCTTTGTTCTAATTCTTTAGAGGTAATTTTCTTCTGTTACTTTATTTCTACAGTTAACACCCTCCAATTAATTTCATAGCTCTTGAAAGTTCTCACATAAGTTGCCCTCACAAACCCTTCCAGTTTAACCGTCGCGTGCAATAGCAGCGTCTCCGACAACACAGCCATGTATTCACGCCTACTGCATCCGAGCACATCGGTTGCATTTGATCTTCATAATAACCTTAAGAGAGTAGCCTGCTTTTACAGAGAGGAAAAATTCAGACTCAAAGAGGTAAAGCAGTCTGCTCCAGGACTGTAGTACAGGCAGAGCTGGGATTTGAACCTCCACCTCCAGCTGCTGGCCTGAGTCAACAGCTGCTCCAGATTCAAGGGGGAGCACATGGTGGCTGTCAGGTCCCAGGTGCACATCTGTCCTACTGGGGTGGCTCCAGAGTGAACTTGGTGGCCCTACTGGCTCCACCTCTGGCGATTCCCTACAACCTTCCCCTGGATCCTACACAGAGAAGCTTCCCTGGCAGGCAGGAGGAAATGAAATCGAGGCAAAACACAGGGTCTCAGCATCCATGCATGGATGGGGAAAAGACAGTAGTGGTTATAGCATCTCTTAGGGAGAGGAGGAAAAAAAACGTAACACCAACTACATTTGAAGAGAAATAATACATGATTTCAAATTCTATTTTCTTATCTCTCTCAGTACATCTCCTGGTGCTATTTTATCTAGTAAATAGGAGACCTAGTTGTTATTCTCAATTATGATATTAATACTCCCGGTGACCCTGGGCAACTTACCTCCCTTCTCTGAGCTGGTTTCTCGATCTATCACCACCTGCTCAAGGACAAAAAGATGTTCTCGCAGGAAGGAAGCTCCCCGTGTCTGGAACAGGCCTGGGCCCTCGTTTACCCAGCAGGTGCTGCTGGTGTGGGCGGGGGTGGCCTGCAAGGGGTGGACGGACCGCAGTCCTCAGTGCCTGCTCTCAACCTCTCTCTCCTTTTTCCTAACCACAGACCTAACCCTCCTGACCGTGTTTGCACTTGTTAGCCTCACAGATCCTTCTGCCAACCTCCCTGTCCTGTTAGATTCTAGAATTTTCCCCTGTCCCTTCCTCCCAGAGTTGGGGGAAGGGTAACAGCAAACCCCAGCTGGGCGACAACTTCCGCCGCCATGTGCTTGGTTCGATACTGTTTTCCTATTTTTCCAGCCATCTCCCTCCATGGGGGGAGGTTGCCACGGGCGATCGGCCCAGCCTGTGTTTACCTCCGCACTCTGTGCCTCCTCTCCTGCATCCCGCAGGGGCTCCCCAGCCATCTGGAATGGGGCCCACAGCTCCCCTCTCCCCCACGTGCCAGCCGAGAAGGCCGGTTTGAGCACTGCGTGGGAGGCCCAAGCTTCCCGCCAACATGGGCAACTGAATTTGGAAAACAGCTCATCACCAACGAAGGAAAAAAAAAACAAAAAAACAAATAATGAACTGCAGAGACCCTGGGCTGGGGTTTGGCAAACACCGATGGAAACAAGTCCCCTGTGAAAAAGTCTAATGATTTTTGCTCTTGTTCAGAACTGAAGACTAATTCTAAAATATTGGTCGTCCGGAAAGAGAGGTAGCGGGTGGGGCCACAAGCTAGTTCCAGCCCGCAGGAGACCCAGGGCTCTGTAGCCCAGGAGACTCAGCGCTCACACATGCAAAGCACACCTGGAGGACCCTGGATAGACAGTGCTGTGAGGCAGATAGGATGAATGGACCTTGGTTGCTGCTTTTAATGGAGAGGGAAGCTCAGGCTCAGGGATATGATCATTTCTGGGCAGATCTGGGTCCTCATCTGTGATAGTCTGAGGCTCCCGTCGTAGCTTAGGGAGGACTTCAGGTCATATTTGTACCAAATCCTCTCCTGAACCCTAGGGCGACAGTTAAAATATTTATCAACTCGAGGTGCCAGGGCGCTGAGCCAGCAGGGCTGTGGCCAGACCAGCCACTGGATAGGGCAGGTCCCAGAGGCCCCGGAGGCCCTGGAGGCTGGGGGTAGGGGCGGGGTGGCCAGGACAGAGAAGTAGAGGCCTCTGGGGCCAGAGGCAGCAGCTACTCACCACCTGGGATGGAAGCGATTTAATATTTTAGCAGCTGGCTTGCCCCACCAAGTGCCCCGGGTGGTTGTCAGTGCTGCTCCAACCAGCACCTGGCTATGACCCAGCACGCATCTTCCATAGCAGCAAAGTCAAACCTGCCTCGCCGTGCGGCTTCTGGGCCTCATTTCCACAGGCCTGGGGGACCTCGAGGAAGGCGGGATGAGAGGCTCTGGGGTCACCTTCTGGTGCTCTGTGCGGATAAGAGGACCCTTGTCCAGTGCTTGGCCTAGAGCCTGGCATGAGGTTACTGCTCAAGAAGGGTTCACTGCATTTAAAATTTCCAAAGCTGTGCTTCTGCCTGCCCCTGCCCCTCTCTTGTGAGAAACATGACCATCAAGTAAACAGGCAAGCAGTTGCACATCCAGGCAGAGCGCAGTGGCTGTGGCCACCGCTGCCCCCCTGCCCAGGCCTCATTTCAGGAGTAGCCTTGCAGCGGGCTGGTGAAGCCCCGCACACAGGACAGCGTCCTTTCTCGGGACTACATCTTGTATGAGAAGGCAAAGATGCCTTCACAACCTGGTTCATTCACCTGCTAAGCCCCCACCCCCCGCAGCTAGGCTCTGGGGTCCTGGCCAGGCCTCACACCCACCTAAGATGAGACAGGGTGTGGAAGAAGAAGGGGCCCAGACTTTTTGAAGGAAGCCCTTCCATAGCAGAGCCCTGAGCGGCACTGGGGTCTCCTGAGGAGCCGCCTGCAAGAAGCCTTCTCCTTTGAACAGAAGACTGCGAGGGAAGTGGGTTGGAGACTGGGGGCGGAGGAGGGAATGGTGATCTTGGAGGGAACATTACAGAGGTGGCTCCTCTGGTCCTTGGCCAGGATAACCACCTCCTCTCCCGGTTGCAATCAAAGAGTGGGTGGCCCTGCAGCTCCTGCATCAGAAGCACCTAGGCATATGCTTGTTAAACCTGCAGACTCTAGGCGCTGGGCGGCGTCCGTCCGGCCAAGTGAGCATCGCTGGGGCAGGGCCATGAAGATGACCTTTCAAAAAATGACTGCAGCGATCGATGCTCTTGCTTCCAAACATTTGAGAACAACTCCCTTAGACTGAGATGTCATGCTTCTTGGGCCGGAATTCCCCTTCACTTCCTCCTCCCCTACCCCAGACTGTCTGGGCTTGAGTCCCATTCTGCCACTTAAAGCTGTGGGAGTTTGAGTGCCTCAGCTGCCTCATCTGTGAAATGGGAGAGAAGTAGAACCTACCTCCCCTTTGAGCCTTGCTTCCAAGGGAGTAGAAGGCACCTTGCCTTATGGCTCCCTGAGAGCAGCTCTGACAGAAGCTGTTACAGAAGGGAACTCGTCCCTGCCTCGCCCTGGTGCATGGGGTCATCAAGCACCAGGTGGTGGCATTGGTTGGGGTGAAAAGGGCTCTGCACCCCTAACACAAGGGCTCTAGACCTGGCTTCACGCCATCACACCTGTATGATCCATTCTCAGTGCTGGGACACAGCTCTTCCAGACAAGCAAGGCCCCTGTTTTCAAGGTGTCAAGACGCAGACAACAAACTCACAAACAAACCAGTGAAACGAACGGTGATAACTGTTGTGAAGGCAATTGAAAGACCCCAATGCCAAGTAACCGACATGGTGTAAATAGTGGCAGAGTGTCCTGGGCAGAGAGAACAGCAAGGGCAAAGGTCCTGGGGCAGGAATGGATGCAGAGTGCTAAGGGGACAGAAAGAAGGCTGCTGTGCTGGAGCGTCCCCAGGGAGGAGCGGTGGGGTGAGGGAGGGGGTGAGTTCAGAGAGGCAGCCCAGCAGATCTTGCAGGGCCTATGGAGCTTATTCTAAGTGTGATGGGCAGCTCCTCCCAGCTGGGAGAATTAAATGGAGTAATGAAGCACAGCGCTTGCACCAGGGTTGGTGCCAGGTGACTGCTGTCTGTGCCCTCACCCCATGACAGACGCACCATGGCTGAGACATTAGGGTCACATGGTGACTTGGAGCCTCAGGTCCTAGGAACTGCCCCGACGCAACTTCAGATCGTTGGCTGGGATCCATTCAAAGACGTCAGGAGGTGTTTATTCAGATCACTGGCTTCTCTCTGCACCGCCCCCGACCCTCACCCCCCACCCGCGCCATCCCCCAACACGGGGCCACGGTAACACAGTTCGTCTGTTTCCTCAAACCTAAAACACAGCCGGGCTTTTCAGGGCTCTAAGGCCCCCGAGTGTGGTGGGTGCCCCGGAGAAGGACAGGGCAGGGATGTCTGGGGATCTGGTTCTCTCCCGCTTGCAGGTGTGGCTGGCGTGCGCGTTGGGAGCGCCTGCTTGCCCCTCCTCCGGGGGGAAGGACTGGCCGTCGTCCCTGCTCCGGGGCTGCGGGATGCGGGTGCGCCGAGCCCTCGGGAGGCCTGGCTCTGGTGTGGGCTGCGGGGAGAAGGCGCGGGAAGGAAGGAAAGAGGCGAAACGGTGCGGGAGGGAGGCGGCCGTTGCCATGGAAGGAGCTGCAAGGTATTCTGGGACCAGAATTCTCTCTGCAGAGGGCCGGGTGGGGGGCGGCCGGCTGGGGAAGGTGAGGGGAAAGCCAGTGCCATTCCTTTGTCCTTGGCGCTTCTCAGCCTCCCTGCAGACCGCGAACGGAGCCCCCGCACCCCCGAGGCTGGCCTCTGGCCTCCCGCCCCAGCCCGGCCGGGGGCCCCTCCCCGCTCCACCATCCGCCTTGGGTACAGAAGCGGCGAGTGGCCCCTTTCCAGGAGGCCTGTTTACCAGCACGACAACAGCAAATTAGTGCGCTTAAGAGGCATTCAGCGTTTATCCCGGCAAACATGCGCAGCGCGAAGGGGGCCTGCAAGGCCTGCTCCCCGGAATCTACTGAAATGGGTCTGCTGTGCATCTTAATCGACTTCCTTCCACCCACCACATTAAATGCATTTAATCTACTCTTGCAAATGGCTAATTTTGAAAATCCGCTTATCAGAATTAGGTCCTCAACATCCATATTTATTTACTTTTCATTTTCATAATCTTTTTTTTTTTTTTTTTTTTTTTCCGTGTGTGTGACTGAATTCCGTTTACTATTGTCTGGCTCTCTCTCACACGTCCCGGGGGGCCGGGGCAGGGGAGAAGGGCCAGGTTAGGAGCAAACTGGAAATGGAAACCTGGCAGGGATGAAAGGCATGGGCTCGGGATTTGAGGATTGGGAGGCTCTTCCCCGGTGGCAGCATCTTCAGGAAATCACCAAGAGCTGAGGCTTGAGCAGAGCAGGTTTAAAAAGGCGATGCGGAAGTCTTGCTGAATCCCAGGCACCCGGGGCCTGCCTGGCAGGAATCAGCAGCCGTGTCAGAAATGTGCAAGAAAGTGGTTGGGATCAACTGTCTTCCCCAGCGCCCCCGGTGCCAGGCTCCGTGCTAAGCGCTTCACGTGGACTGGCACTCATGCTCACGCCAGCCCTGCTCAGTGAATGCCAGGCGCGTCTCGCAGACAAGAAGGCTCCTGCTGCGGCTTAGACCCACATTCACATCCAGACTGCACGTCCTCCTCTGCAGCATGTTGTCAAGCGTGCAAGGCACGTTTTTCCTATGAGTGTGTAAGAAACACAAGTTTGTGTGTGCGGGACTCAGGCCTGTGAGAAACGCAGACCAAGGGAGAGATGGGTGTTCAGAATCTGGAAAATGGCTCTCCAGGTCACAACCTGTGCAGCCTCAAGTGTGAATTCCGCATGTGGCCTTCCTCACACCACGTTTGGGTTTTGCAAGTTTGCTAACAGCTGCTACAAAACTAGGAAGAGCGGCCAGGCCTCTTGGCCTCTAAAGGACTTATCACTCAATGTTAATTTTGTTGTTGCCAGTCCCTTAATGAGCTTATTTGGCACACATCTAGAGCAAAAACCTGAATTTCACTTCATTTAATTTACTTTCAACATTGGCTGGGCACCTCCTATTGGCCAAGTGATGTTCTGCAGAATACCTGGGTGGAAGGATAAATCCGATCTGTTTCTAGCCTTGGGAAGCTCACATTAACTGGATTTTACAAGAAAGGCTCAGAACAACAAAGTGTTAACATACGCATACCAGACAATTTTATTTTCCCAAATAACTGCTAAATTATGTTGTAGCCATCTTAGATTTCCAGATCTATGGGAATTTCTAAAGCATAAGGCATTAATTACATCCTGATGGTTGAGATTAGGGCTGAATTGTCTGCAGACTTGAATGCAAACCTGCAGTTCTGCCACCTTCAATTTACGACCTTGGGCACTTTGGAGCCTCAGTATCCTCATCTGTGTAATGGGGATTATATAAATATCTACCCATAGGGCTCCGAAGATTTAAATTAATGCTGTAAATTAATGTAGGTGGAGCCTTTAGTGAGGTATTTGACAAAGGTCTACATCTAACAACTAAATAGTAAGCATTATGATACATAATCATTTACTCAAACTCAGCAAATAGAATTCAAAGACAGAAATAAACATTGATCAAAGAAATGTTTTCCAACGTTCTGAGTATGTTCGTGAGGCACCTGGAAAGCTACCGAAGCTGCCAGTGGGTCTTCAGGCCCTGCCGCCAGGTGCTGGCTAAATGGCAAGGTGGACCAATGATTTACTGGGGCCCCTCCCTCGTTTCTCTGACCCCCACCTTTTCCCCTTTCGACTTCCTGCCTCTCTCTAGAATTACATGATATGCCAAAGTAAATTCCCTCAGACTTGCAAATAGCCTATACTTAATCCCCCCCACCCCGCCCACCTGAGGATAAAAACTCCTTGCAGAAGACAAAATTTCCTCCCATCCCGTGTTAGGGATGTGTGGGCGCATGTCTGCAGGAAGGGGAAGCCGTGGGAGTGTGTGTGTGTGTGTGTGTGTGTGTGTGTGTGTGTGTGTGTCGATGCAGGAAGGAAGCGGGCGGATGTGTGCGCAGGGAGACACCTGTGGGTGTGAGCGCGGGGATTTGTGAATGAACGAGCCTGTGTGTGCAGGGACTGGGTGTGTGGAAGGGGCGGTGGCCCAGAGAAAACCCAGGTCCTCCAGCACTCACTCTGGATCAGGACCCCTTCCATCTGAGCGAGCTGAGTAACGTGGGTGGAGCGGGCTCATGGGATGGCTCATGCCCTCTAAGACGAGGTCAGAGAGAGAGACTGCAGGACCAAGGACCCAGATGGGCAAAAGGGCGGAAGGTCAGCCACAAGGCCATGTGGGGTGTTCTGGGCGGATTTGAGTGCGTGTTTCCCGGGTGGCGGATGTGGACTGGCTTTGGAGATGGGCAAGCTGGCAGGTGAGGGGGCAGAGCTGAGTGGACACCAGAGAGGATGACCCACTCAGGGGATTCTGCCAGCCGTGTCTGGGGCTGCAGGCACAGTGGTTTCAACAGAGCAGCGGGGGTGGACAGAGGTCACAGAGGGAGGGAAAACAATCTCAGAGAGAGGGTGGGCTCTGTTCTCAGACTGAGGAGACCAGGCAGGGAAAGGCGGGGGCGGGGCGAGGATCTGCAGTGACAGAGCCGGCAGGAATACGAGGTCATCACAGTATTGTTTGTTGATTTTGAAAGCTGAGTTGCATTTGAAAGATGAGGTTATGTGCCAGCGGAAAGAAGCGGCTCTCGTATTAGTAGAAGAACCAAGGCTGGAAAAGGAGGGACTTCCAATGACAGTGGGCAGCCAGAACAGGAGGCTCTGCCTGAGACCCCCTGACTTTCACATCTCCCTTGAGGAAGAGTCTTCAGTTCTTGTCCCCACGACCATAGGAGTCTCCCAAGATGCAGCTTCTTGCTCTAAGGTTCTGGCTTAAGCAGAATGAAAACCTCCTTCTCTAGGTTCCGTTAGCAGAGTAGGGCCAAATTTTGTTGTTTTTATTATTTTATTTTATGTATATATTTATTTTCTGAGACAGAGTCTTGCTCTATCGCCCAGGCTGGAGTGCGTGATCGCGGTGTCTATGTGTGTCGATGCAGGAAGGACGCTTGCTCACTGCAATCTCTGCCTCCTGGGTTCGAGCGATTCTCCTGCCTCAGCCTCCCGAGTAGATGGGATTGCAGGCATCCCACCCGTACAGCCACCATGCCCTGCTAATTTTTGTATTTTTAGTAGAGATGAAGTTTTGCCATGTTGGCCAGGCTAGTCTTGAACTCCTGACCTCAGGTGATCTGCCCGCCTCAGCTTCCCAAAGTGGTAGGATTACAGGCATGAGCCACCGCACCCAGCCCCCAGTTAAAAAAAATTTTTTTGCACATGTGTATGCACATACAAATACTCCTGCCTCTCGTTTGAGCCTTTGGGGGCCCTAAGAGCTTCTTTCCCTCATCCATTCCGCCCCACTGTATTTCCTGGCCAAGTCATTTTTGTTCGGGAATGACAGAAAATCCTTTCCAAATGGCTTATGCAAAAAAGGAAGCGTGTTGGCTTGCGTAATTAAAAAGCCCCAGGGTGGTCTTCAGGCACAGCTGGATCCAGGACTCAAATGGGGTTTTCAGGACCCAGCTTCTCCCTCTCTTTGGTGCTGTTGGGCCAGTTTCCGTCTCAGGCTGGGCATGGGGAACCTCAGAAGCTCTGCGCTCCCCACTGTAGCAGCAAGATGGCTGGGGCACCTCGCACTCCCCTCCTGTTGGGGCCAACTTTGAAAGGAAGAGCAGAGGCTGATGGGGAATGTCTTGGCTAGAACTGGACCAGGGACCCCTTTGCAAGTCAATCACTCTGCCAGGGGTATGGAAAGGTGATCGTCTGGGGCCCCTGCCCACCCCTAGAACCCAAAGTGGAATATGAAAGTGGGCAAAGGATGGTGGATGGCCTAACCCAGATGCCACTGCAGCCATGGAGGACACGCTCAGGACGCTGGGCATGGATGGGGCCACCATCCAGGTGTGCAGCCTCTCTCGTCACACTCCTGTCCTTTCCTAGGCAGCTGGTGAGGCAGTGGGGCCTCTGACTGGGAACCCAGCTTGTTCGTTACAACTCACATGGGCTGAAGGGGAAAAGGAAGGGTGAGAAGAAAATGCCAGAGGCAGGAAAGTGCTCCTGTGAGCAGTAGTAGCCATTTGCCATTTTCTGGCTGCTCAGAATCCACTCTATTCATGGGTATCACCCCAAATCCCCCTCTAGATCTGCGTAACCCAGCCGCCCACCTCCCAGGGCAGAAGTGAAAGCACCAGTCTCCCCTTGCCGCACCCCAGACGCAGCCGGGGTGGAGGTGGCAGCCTGAGCTCTCCCATCTGATGCCTGCTCCTGGGACGCTGACTCTGGAGCGGGCATCTCAGGGCCCACAGGGACAGCAGGAGGGCCTGCTCCACCCTTCCCTGCTCTGGCCACAATACCCTGACAGGGATGCTCTGGCTTCCTCTCACTCCCTGCCTGTCTCCAGGCCTGGTTTCTCAGCTTCCTCCTGATTTAGGGAGGCCTCAACAAGCACCCAAGAGTGTCCTTTTCTTCCATTTGCCTCACAGCATCCTCTTGACATTCACAAAACTCTGGTTTCTGTCCAGCCAGGGCCAGCTCACTCCCAGGGCACCAGCCCTGTCCACTCCAGGCCTGTCTAAGAGGAGGCTACACCCAGACCCAGAGGTGAGAGCATTTCACCACCCCTTGCCCAGGCACTAACTTTTGGCCCTCAGGGACCCCTGTAGAGGTGGCAGCTCTCAGACACTGTGACGCCCTCACTACCAAGGTCAGCCTCTTTCAGTCCTCGTTTCTAGTCTGAGTGATAGGCTCGTTCCTGACTCATTGGTGGGACCCTGGCAAGGTGCTCGGTGAATGAGCTCACTCACGTTGACGTTTCAATCAGCATGTTTATCTCCCACCCACCCACCCCTGCACTAACCGAATTTTTTCTCCTGTCCTGAGGGTGTCTTTCGTCTCCCAGCCTCCACACCATGCATGACTCACTTGCTGCAGAATCGGGCATCCAGGCTGCAGAGGCTCAGCGTCAAGGCTCAAAAGCCTCTGGAAGGAGACGCTGATGGATGTGCGGAGACTCATGTTCGCAGACAACACGCCCAGCGCGG